ATTTATTTAATTTTTGAGATGTGTTTGTTTGTTCAGAGAGAGAGAGAGAAGATAGAGGGAGAGGAGAGGGAGGGAGGGGAGGAGAGGGAGAGGGAGAGGGAGGGAGGGAGGGAGGGAGGGAGGAGGGAGGGGAGGGAGAGAGAGAGGAGAGAGAGAGAGAGAGAGAGGAGAGAGAGAGAGAGAGAGAGAGAGAGAGGGAGGAGGGAGAGAGAGAGAGAGAGGGAAGAGAGAGGGAGAGAGAGAGAAGAGAGAAGAGAGAGAGACAGAGACAGAGACAGACAGAAACAGAGACAGAGACAGAGAAAGACAGACAGACAGACAGAGACAGAGACAAAGAGAGAAAAGAGACAGACAGACAGAGAAAAAAAAATCACATCGAAACACAAAAAAAAGACAAAAAAATGCACATAAACTGATAAACTTTCTCATCCTGCAGGACCCAACCTTCATGATCTTGTTGACGAGCGCTGGCAAGTTCGACCCTTCGAATGTCTTCTGCAAGCAAGCCATTTCGTACAAGATGCAACCCAGAGCCCAGATGTCACTCTTCTCGTCATACTGCTTGCCTTCGCACTGTGGGGGGGGAAAAGGAGTTAAGTTTATATATAAGTTTATATTAAGTTAAGTTTATATATAAGGTGTGTGGATATTTTTCTTTTTTTGTGTGTGTTCGGTTTAGTGAGATTACACGATTTTTTTTATAGTTATCTATATCCGGTTTGGGTTTTTTTTTATTGAATTTAAAGTATATTTATATGGATGAAGAAATAAGTGAATTAATGATTCGTATACATACATATATAAATAGACACACACACACACATACAAAGATATATATTATATATATATATATATATATATATATATATATATATATATATATATATATATATATATATATCATATGTATATATATTTACATATACATATATTGCTTCTATATCAATCAATATACCTGTCTATCTACCTACTTGCATACTATCTATCCATATTTACATAACAAATATAACAAACCCATCAAAATACGACTCTCAACCACATATTGCAAACAAAACCAAAATTCCAAAAGACAAAGTTAAATTTTTAAAAGTTAAATCTGTCACCCTCCCTCTCCTCGCCCCCGCCTCTCCACGCCCCCCAAACACCCCCACGCCCTCACCCCGCCCCCTCCCGCCACCGCCACCTCCACCCCCCAAACACCCCCACACCCACACCCACCCCCGCCCCTCCACGCCCCCCAACACCCCCACGCCCAACCCCACCCCCACGTCCACACCACCCCTCCACGCCCTCCCACACCCACGCCCACACCCCACCCCCACGCCACCCCTCCACGCCCACGCCACACCCACCCATCTCCGGGCTGATGTAATAGGGCGTCCCGAGCACTGTATGGGCGTGATTGGTCTTGGTGGAGAGCATTTTGCTGATCCCGAAGTCGCCCACCTTCACGACCCCAGCCTTCGTCAGGAAGATGTTGGCCGTCTTCAGGTCTCTTCGGGAGGAGAGGGAGAGAGGGAGAGAGAGAGGAGAAGAGGAAAAAAAATTATTATCATTATTATCATCTAATTCTGTGGGAGGAGGGAGAGAGAGAGGAAAAGAGGTGTTTTTTTTTTATTATCATTATTATCTTTTTTGCGGGGGGGGAAAGAGGAAAAGGGGAGAAAAAATACACACACACATACACACACACACACTCACATATATATATATATATATATATATATATATATATATATATATATATATATATATATATATTATACATATACGTACTTGCATATATACATCCATTCATACCTACAAACCCATAAACACAAAACCCACCTGTGTAGAATATGGTGCTCGTGCATGTAGCGAATGGCCGCCGCTATCTGGTGGAATATGATGAGAATCTCTCGCTCCTCGATTCGCTTCACCTGCTGCGTCAGGTACTGCTGCATGCTGCCCCCGTCGGCGTACTCCATCTCGATGCACAGGACGGTGTCACGTTCGAAGCTGTCCATGTAGCTGCGGGAGGGAGAAGGGGGAGGGAGAGGGGGTTGAGATGGGGTGGAGAGGTAGAGAGGGAAGGAGGGTAGGAGAGGGAGGGAAGGGTGGGTGGGTGGGAGGGAGGGAGGAGGGAGGAGGGTTGGGAGAGTGGGAGGGAAGGGTGGGTGGGTGGAGGAAGGTAGGTGGTGGGAGTGTGGGAGGGAGGAGAGGGGTATAGAGGAAGGGAGGGAGGGAGAGGAGAGAGGGAGGGAGGAGAGGGAGGGAGAGGGGTAAGATGGGAAGGAGTAGAAGGGCAGGAGAGCGAAATGGGAAGGGTAGAAAGGGAAGTAGGGATAAAAAGGGATGGGGAGGAAGAGAGAGAGAGAGAGAAAGAGGGAAAGATTGAAATAGACAGCATAGGAAATTACACAGATATACACACAAACATGCTCAAAGGACGCGTGTGTGTGTTTGTGAACAAGGAAATTACATAAATGAATGATTAAAGAAGGAAATACACGCAAAATTAACGTCTTTTGACACCTTGACCGTCGCATTTTTATTTACAGATCTACACACACCAGCATCCGTGTTAAGGAAAAAGAAAGAAAGAATGAAATAAAAACGAAAAAAGAGAGAGCACTAAGTATATAAATAAAGATTGGATAAATGAATATAGAATGAAAGGCAATAAATTAGAAATAATAACAGATAATTAATACTTATAAAGATAATGAATAGATTAGTAATCAAAATCAATAAATGCAATAATCAAAGAAAGAAAGAAAAAATGATAGGAAAATATTGGCCGCACCTGACGATGTTCGGATGGTCGAGCATGGCTAGGACGTTGCATTCGTTGAGAGCCATCTGTCGTTCGGACGCGGACAGCTCTAGCATATTTATTTCCTTAATGATGACCATGGCATCGTCTTCCTTTCTCCGGTATAGCACAGCGGATCCGAACGCACCTGTAAGTAGCGTATGAAGCTGAAGCCCTTGTCAGTGTTGATGTTTCGAATGTACGAAAGGCTACTGAGTACCTTCCATTTTCTTTTTCAAAATTCGCCTTAAAGGGGGAACTAATGAAGAATAAGGCCCGTTTTCTTCGTCTAAATCATATATTAAACATTCGCATATTTCCCATCCTTCCCTTTTTTTGTTTACCTCTTTATCCACTCTTCCTAATACCTCATCCATATTCCCTTCTTACCTATTTATCCACCCTCTTTCGTCTCTGCCATTTTATCTATCCACTCTCTTTCAACCACTCTCTTTATTCCATTAATTTCTTCCCTCCCTTGCCCCCTCGCCTTTTATCTCCTCCCCTTCCCTTCCCTCCCCTTCCCTCTCTTCCCCTATCATCCCTCCTCCTTCCTCCTTCTTCCTTATCTCATTCTTCCTCCTTCTTCCCCCTTCCTTCCTCACCTCCTCTCCTCTCCTCCTCCCCTCCTCCCCTTCCTCCTCCTCCATCCTTCCATCCTACCCCTTTCTCCCCTCTTCCCTCTCCTTTCCTTCCTCTCTCTCCCCCTCCCCTCCTACCCCATCTCCTCCCCCTTATTCTCCCCTCTCACATTTCCCCTCCTTTTTTTCCCTCCCCCCACCCACCCACCCCTCTATCCATCCTCCTCCCTCCTTCTTCCTCAACCTCCTCTCTCTTCTTCTCCGCCTCTCCCTCCTTCTTCTATTCCCCCTCCTCCCCCAGCCTTCCCTCTTTCTCCATCATCCTCCCATCGTCTCCCCTCCTCCTCTCTCCCGCCTTCTACCCACTTATCCTCTCCTCTCCATTCCCCCCCCCCATCTATCTTTCCTCCGTCCCCCTCTTCTCTCCCCTCCTTTCCCTCCTTTCCCCCCAACCTCAATTTCTCCTCCCTATCCCTCCTCTCCCCTTTCCCCTTATTTTCCTCTCTCCCTCTCCCCCTCTCCTTCTCCCCATCTTTCCCCCCCTTTATCCCTCCTTCTTGACCTTATTCTCCCCTCTCCCCTCCCTCCCACCACCCAACCTCCCTTCCCCTTACTCCCTCTCCCTCCTTTCCCCCACCTTTCTCCTCTCCTTTCCCCTTACTCTCGTCTCCCCTCCATCTCTCCCACTCCACTTCCTCCCTCCCCTTATCTCCTTCTCTCGTCTCCCCTTCCCTCCCTCCACATCCTCCCCTCTCTCGTCTCCCCTCCTCTCCCTCCTTCCCTTCCTCTCTCATTTCCCCTTCCTCCCTCTCTCGTCCCCCCCCAACCCTTCCTCCCCTTTCCCCTATCCTCCTCCTCTCCTCCCTCCTCTCCCCTCCACCTCCCTCCTCCCAATCCTCACTCTCCTCCTCCCTCTCACCTATCTTCCCCTCTCTCCCCTCCTTCTCTCGTCTCCCCTCACTCCCTCCACCTCATCCTCCATTCCCCCTTATCCTTCCCTCCACCTCTAACCCCCACTCCCCTTTTCCCCTATCTCCCTTCCTCTCCGCCTCCTTCTCCCAACCTCCACCTTTCCCCTATCCTCCCTTCTCTCTCACTCCCCCTCCTTCTCCCCCAAACTCACCTTCCCCTTTCCCCTTAACCTCACCTTCCCTTCCCCTACCTCCCCTCCTCCCTCTCCCCCCCCTACCTCCCACCTCCCTCCCTTTCCCCTTATCTCCCTCTCTCCTCTCCCCTCCCTCTCCCCAACCCACCTCCCCTATCCTCCCCTCCTCCCCCTCCCCTCCTTTCCCCCACCTTCCTCCTCTTTTCCTTTCCTCCCCTCTCCCTTCCCCTCCTTTTCCCACCTCTCCTCCCTTTCCCTTATCCTCCCTCTCTCCTCTCCCCTCCTCTACCCCCACCCTTTCTCTCTCCCTTTATCCTCCCTTCTCTCCTCTCCCCTTATTCTCCTTCCTGATCCCCTCTCTCCCCTCCCCCCCTCTCTCCCCCAACCTCACCCTCCCCACCGTGCGAATCTTCTCGTAGTCGTTGTCCAGGTCCTTCGTCCTCTTCTTGACCCCGCCCCCCGCCGTCTTCAGCGCCCCCTTCAGCTTCCGGAGGTCAAAGTAGAGCGCCCCCAAGGTCATCGACGGTTGACCTGACCGTCTTCCGGCACGAAAGGTTCCACTTCGATGTCGCTCGCTTGGAGGTCCGTGGCGAGGGTCACGGGGATCTGAATGAGGGGGTGGGGAGGAGGGGGTGGAGAGAGGGAGGGGAGGGGGGAGGGAGAGAGGGAGGGTGGGAGGGAGAAGGTGGGAGTGGGGAGGATGGGGGGAGGGGGGAGGATGGGAGGGAGGGAGGATGGGGGGAGGGAGGGAGGGAGGGAGGGGAGAGGGGGAGAAGGGGAGGAGGGAGGGGGAGGGGGGAAGGAAGGGGGAGGGAGGGAGAGGAGATGGAGGGGGAGGGGAGGGCGATGGGAAGAGGGGATGAATAGGGGGTTTAAGAGAGGGGAGAGGGGGAGGAAGGAAGAAAGAGGAAAGAGGGGAAATGAGAGGAGAGAGGGAGTTAAAGGGGAGTGGAGTGAGGATAGGAGGGAGGTACGGGAGAAGGGTAATAAACATTATTATTAGCAATATTTGCACAATAATTAGCCATCTTCTTATTCCACACTCACACCCGGGACTAACACCACAGCATTCTTACTAACAATTAATAATAATAATAATAAAGAAATGAATAAATAAATAAAAGTATAAATTAATAAATACATAAAAATAAATAATGAATAAATAGATACAAATAAAAGTAAATTAATAAATAAAAATAAACAAAAAAATAATAAAAAAACAATAAAAAAAGATAAATGAATAAACAAATGAAAATAAAAAAGATAAATAGATAAATAAATAGAATAAAAATAAACAAAAAATAGATAGGTAAACAAATAAAAGTAAATAAAAATAAAAACAAAAATAAAAATAAAAAATAAAAAAATAGATAAAAAATAGAAGATAAATAAAAAAAATAAAAAAAATGAAAATAAATAAAACAAAAATAAACAAAAATAGAAAAATAAATAAGAATAAAAGATAAATTTAAAAATTAACAGAATGAAAATAAAAATAAGAATAAACAAAATTCGAAAATAATAAAAATAAAAGATAAATAAAAAAAAAAAAAAGAAAAAAAAAATCAAAAAAAAATAAAAAAAAAAAATAGAAAAAACAGAAAAAAAGAAAAAAACAAAAAAAAATAACAAAATAAAAAATAAAAAAAAAAGAAAAAAAGAAAAAAAAAGAAAATAAAAAATAACAAAAAAAAAAAATTAATTAAAAAAAAGAAAAAAAAACTCACGCCCAACAGCTCGTTCAGATGCAAGGCGATGATGGCCCCGTGCTCGTCGTGGGCGGGGTGGGCGGCCAGGAAATCGAGACGGGCGTTCATGAGCGTCTTGTCGACGTGGGCGTTGATGAGGGCGCTGAAGAACTCCCTCACTGACACCTGTTCCGAGGCCGAGTGGGCGCTTAGGACCTGGTGGGAGGGAGGGAGGAGGGGTGTTGAGAGGGAGGGAGAGGGAGGGGAGAGGAGGGGGGGAGGGAGGGAGTGGGAGAGGGAGTGAGAGGGGGAGGGGAGAGGGGGAGGGAGGGAGGAGGAGAGGGGAGGGAGGGAGGGGTGGGGAGGGAGGGGAGGGGGAGGGGGGTGGAGAGGGAGGGAGAGGAGAAGGGGGAGGGGGAGGAGTGGGGGAGGGGGGGGGGAGGGAGGGAGAGGAGGGAGGTGGGAGGAGAGGGAAGAGTGTAGAGGGAGGAAGAGGGTGAGGGGGCAGGGGGAAAGGAAGAGGGGGGAGAGGTGAGTGAGAGGGGAAGTAGAGGGGAGGAGAGGAATAAGAAGGAGAAGAGAGGAGTAAGAATGAAGAAGAGGAATAAGAGTGAGAATCAGAGAGGAGTAAGAGTGAGAAAGAGAAGAATAAGAGGGAAATCAGAGAGAGTAAAGAGAGAAAGAGAAGAGCAGGAAGAGAAAGGAGAAAAGAGGGAGAGAAAGAGAGAGGAGGAGAGAAAGAGGGCTTCATTCTCCAAATGTCTTATCCAATGAGCAGTCTTAAAAAACACTATTCCTATTTGCTTGTTTTTTGCATTCATACTTATATTATTTTCTTACAGTGATCAGATGCCGATTCAATACCAATACGTATTGATGATATCGGTGTCATGTGATGATAGGGAAGTGGAGAAAAAAATAATTATAAACTTTGCAAGGATAGAAGAAGTAGTCTTATTATTTTCCATAATATATGTACTTTTTTTTACCGTGAGATGCAGAAAAATGTTCTCTATACACACACACACACACCAACATCTCCACCCCTCCGTCTAGCTCCACCACCATCATCACCACAAACTCCACCTCCACCACCATCACCACAAACTCCACCTCTACCACCACCGCCACCCCTCCACCACACTCCATCCTCCACTAAACCCAGCCACCTCATCCACATTCCACCTCATCCACCCTTTCAAAACCCACCTTTTCTCCCGGTCCACAGAGGTAGAGCTCCACCTCCGAACCGTGGAGGACGACTGCCACCGTCTCCACCTTTCGTCCTCCGAGTGCCGTCGAGACCTGGGCTGCAGGAGGTCAGCGGAGGTTGAGCGAGGTCACACGAGGTCAGGGAAGGTCAAACGAGGTCGCGGCAGGTCATGGAGAGAGAGATATAAGATTAAAGAGAGAAAAAAATAAATAATAGAAGGTAAACGGGATAAGGATGATAATCATGGGGATGGAAGAAAGAGGAATGAAAAAGGAGGAAGAGGTGTGACAAGGATAAAGACAAATAAAAAAAGAAAAAAATGACAAAATATATAAGACAAATACAGGAATTAGCTTTAAAATTCCCAAAATATTTGTTCAAACGTCGGGATTTCTTCCATGAGCGTAACAATGATAATTATAAACAACTAGAAAACAAAGAAACACCAACAGCGGCAAATATACAAAACAGAATAATATTTTGTTTCTAAAAATGTAGCCAAGCGTTAAGATTCACACTACGAGCAATGACATTCTACTATTACTGCTACTACTGATGATAATAATAATAACAGCAATGATAATAAACAACAGAGAGAGAGAGAGAGAGAGAGAGAGAGAGAGAGAGAGAGAGAGAGAGAGAGAGAGAGAGAGAGAGAGAGAGAGAGGAGAGAGAGAGAGAGAGAGAGAGAGAGAGAGAGAGAGAGAGGAGAGAGAGAAGAGAGAAAGAAAGAAAGAGAAAGAAAGAGAGAGAGAGAGAGGAGAAACAAGAATGCCTCCAAGGACAAACCCAGAATGTGGTCGAGGGTCGATGTCTCGTACTTGTAGGTGACCATGACGACCCCCGGCAGGAGCGCCCGAGCCACGGGTTCTACGTGTCTGGCCCTCGAGGACACCAGCAGGAGGCGCCACCTCTCCTTCGGGGGGCTTCTGGGAGGACGTCTCTCGCCGGAGGAGGAATCGGGGGTGGAGGAAGGGCGCCGTGCTTGGCCATGGGGTCGTCTGCCTACTCCTCCTCCTCCTGCTGGGGTCCCCGTGCGCCGAGGGGAGGAGGCGGTGACGGGGGTGTCCAGGCCTTGTGTCATGCTGGGGAAGGAAAGGGGATTTTGAGGGGAAAAAAATAGAAAAAGGAAGGATTCTAGGTTGAAATTCGGAAATCCGGCAAGTTCTAAGGCTAGAATTGTGCCGGAAAGACGGATTATCGGAACTACTGTAGTCTCGGCCATGCGAATCTGTCGAGGGCAGATCCAACACATTATCCCGAACCTTCGATGGTCTCTGGCCTGTGAAAGCCGGATTAGTGAAAGCCGGATTAGTGAACGCCGGATTAGTGAAAGCCGGATTAGTGAACGCCGGACTAATGAGATTCGATCTGGACGAAAGGATTTTCTTATTACTTACCTTTTATTTTGTCAAAAAAAAACAATAAAAAAAGAACTGTATAATTAAATTTAGAAGTCAATATGCCAGAAAGGGCAGGATAACATTAAATTTTGATTTAGAGAAAAAAATCTAACACGATAAGAAATAAAAAGTTTAGTGCTAATTCAAGAACTATATATCATAACCCAGTTTGAACAGATAGCAGTATAATAAAGAATATACCAGAATGTATATAAATAAACAAATTTAATGAAGAAAATCATTTCCAGGCTATCATTAGATATATAAAGAATCAGACTGAAGACATCGCAGTATAACGAATATTACATCCGATATTGTATAAAAAGAACCATTCCCGTTTTCACAGTAAATGTTGAGACAGCGATACTTTTAATTATTAATTTGATCAATACAACTCACTGTTTGGAATTATTACACTACCTGGAAAAGAGAGAATGTAATGTTACATAATAGATGCTTATATTCGTCCGTGTGTACGTGTGATAATGGTGATAAAAGAATAATGATAATGATGATAAAAGTAATAAGAAATACAAAAATAACAATAATAATAGTAACGACAATAACAACAACAATAAAAAATATTAATAATAGTAATGATGATAACCATAGCAACAATAGTAATAAAGCAATACTAATGATAATGATGATGGTGACGATTGTAACAATAATAATAACAATTATAACAAATAATTAACAGTTAATAATGACAATAATAATAGTAATAATGATCATAATAGTAATGACAATAACAATGATATATAATGATCAATAATATAATAATAATGATGATAATAATAATAATACTTCAGCTGATTATGATAATAATCATAGTGATGATATTGATAATGATAACAACAACAACAATAATGATAATAATAATAATGTTAACAACAATAATAATGATAAATGACAATGATAACAAAAATAAATATTGATGATAGTGATAATAGTAGTATTATGATAACGACAATGATAAAAACAACAATATTAACAATGATATAAATGGCAAAAGTAGTAATAACAGTAATAATAATGATGATGGTGATAAAAACATAACAGTAATGATAATAAATAAAAACAATAACAATAATGATAACATTCATAATAATGATGGCAGTAAAGTCAATAATCAACAAATGATAACAATAACAGTAACAAGGCCTATATAAGTACTTATATAGACCTTGAACAGTAATATCAACAATAACGGTAA